GTAGTAATAAACACACATAGTAAATTTAGTGCTTACCAATATATAATAGATGGCGCTAACATGCACAGTTCATTTTAAAAATTAGTTTTATTTTAGGTGCAACCCTCATTTGATATCAACTAATACTGTTAAACAATCACACCGTAATTTAAACTTAGATTAAAACATTTTAATCTAAGAATTTAAATTGGTTTTTCTTTATTGGTTTATAAAAGACACACCAAAGTTTTCTATCCAGAATTCATATAAACGTAAACCGTTATATTTTTTTTATCTTAGGTTGTATTCGAAATATTTATTTATAAAAAATACTGTAATAAATTGCAAACATTTGAATGGTAACGATTGTTGATAAAAACCAGAGCCGTATTAACAAACAAGTTAGGCAACTACCAAAATATTATGTACTAAAATTGTTTCCAAAAATAAATAAGTAGGTATCTAAAGAATATTGTTTAGTAAAAGAAAAAAAAAACAATAAAAACTATCATCCGAACTCAGGTATCGAACCACTGACTACTTGCCTCGACCTCAAGAGACCGATTGCGTTCGGCCAGCTGTCTCAGTACCGGTTAAAATTACGGATACGTATCTTGTGTGAAATACTCAACTTCAGATTCATCGAATCTCAAGTCACAATAATACTAAAGTAGTTTTCACTTCAAAAATTAGAACGCGAATACTTCGTCACAATAAAAATAGTTTGCTAATAAAATGACATGAATTTAGAAATATTAAACAAGGTAATTTAATTTTGTATCATTGTAATATTTTATGTACTGATATTTCTGGTGAACTTGTGTTTTTTTATCTCAATAGTGCTTAATGTGTTTGAAGTGTAGGATCATCGATGTCACCAGTGCAGGAAGGCCAAAGGCGAAGATGTTCCACCGAGTGTTTTTAGCTCGGGGGCAGCGGCCCGACTGATGTTCGTCAGACATAGTACATATGATTGTGTTAGCCTTCTGAATTTCGCTAGCGCGATCTAGGCTCCCATACTTTTTTAATGCAGCGCCGGTACGGGCCTGTTGTTACGGAGTGTCAAATCTTGCTTCGGTAATTATGTGGGACGTGTAGATGTCATCAACACAGTAGACAGTTTAGTTAAACAAAAATATATTTAAAAAATCATAATATGGCTGTCGATTGATTACGAACCTTAAAATTCGGATTATAGTTCAACGATAAGGCTAAACCCTAACAAATCTTTACTTTCTTCAGTACCTTGATGAAATCGTTTTGAATTTTGCAAGAAACGATAATGTAATGTAACATTTGAGTTAAACCTACTCTATTGGCACCAAGACTTGGGCTAATGCCAACGCTATAAAAGTGGAAACAGTATAGCATCAACAGCACATTAGCCCGCTCTAGGATCTCAGATTAACGGTCGAGATCCGAACATATTAGTCACGTCTAAGCTATTAGTAAGAGGGTTAAAGACTGGGGACATGCGAACACGGGCCCTTGATTGAGATAGGTACTGTCAGATATGGGCAAATCAAAGGCGTTGGAGTTTCTTGCGGTTAATGTAGTTTAAATGAAGGCTCAATGGTACTATTAGGCGATCCGTGGTTTCGTAAGAACGCTGAAATCAGTTTAATTGTGTTGTGACATTTAGCAAAAAGTGTTTGTTTGTGGAATGCCAACCATTATCTGGAATACCCATTGATCTCAAAATGCCTAGGCTCATTCAATTTCTTGGTAAATCAAAAATGTCTAATGTGGGTACCCAATTTATTTTTCATTTCATTGCCAAGTTTGGCTCTATTTTTCTGTTCCGGTATATTATAACGAATAATATCATTGCCCTTTATTTCTTATATATTGTTTTTGGAAATGATTCAAAATCAAAATACACAAAGACCTTTTGTATTGTTATTGGTGAACACATTGTCATGAAAGTAATTTTTACACTGATTTTTCGTACTATGAAATTTTAAATACTGAACTATTTATACCTAGTTTGGGCAACAAGCTTACTTTACAAGTATTTACATGTGGAATTAATAAGCTGTTAACAATGAACTGGGGAAGTAACCTCCACAATACCAATGATTTTATAAACTGTATTTAGGTAGTTCCAGGCTCAAAGTATTAAAAAATAGTGTACGGTATAGCAAGGGTCTACCGATAGACTATGGCAGCGGTTACTATCAACCATTATGCTTGTTCGCCACCAATTTCACATTAGAAAATAAAATAAATGGTCGAAATGTGGATATACAGACACGCCATAGATAAATGATTGGTCTCGCTTCACTCGACTGAAACGAGACCAATCATTCATCTATGAGACACGCCATAAGTAAATCAAATCTTTACCCTATGTGCAAAAGATTTAAAAAAAAGTTAGAGCACAGTGAATTTCCAACTCATTTTGGAGAGATCAGCTGGGATAGCTTCCTCGCTTTAACGATTTCTGCAGCGAAATATTTTTATTGTTTCCAAAGTTGTTTGACAGAATGTATTTTTCAATTACAACAACACATGTGAAAGTCGAAAGCTATGCCATCGGTTCGCAAATCTACCCTTGTACTGAGAAGAACCGGCAAGTCAGCAAGGGCTGCTTTTTTCTCTCCCTGTTTTATTTCATATAGTGTCGTTAAATTGAAAGCTGACTTCAAACTTACAAAGAAGTATTGCGATCAACTTCCATCACATAATGTAAAATAAGTAACAATAAATAAACAAAGGCCCCGAAATATCCAATCAATAATTTTCAAAATAAATGAGCATGTATATGAAAGAGACTAAGTGCAAGCCTCTCTGCAATATTCATCTTGAGAAGAAAAGTTTAATACTTTTAACGCTGTAAATTATCTGAATATAAAAATTACCACCAGACCGTTATATCGTTCAAATATTCTTATATTCTTATCATCATCATCATCATCATCATCATCAGCCTATTAATGTCCCCACTGCTGGGGCACAGGCCTTCTCTACGGATGGAATAGGAAGATTGGGCCATGACCCACCACGTGGGCCCAGTGCGGATTGGTGGGTGCTAACGACAGCAACGCAGCCGGGAGGCTGTGCCTTCCGAAGCACGGAGGAGCTCGAGATAATAAATTTTTGGTCACCCATCCAATGACCGACCACTGCGAAAGTTGCTTAACTTCAACGATCGCAGCCGAACGCGCTAGCCACCTGCGCCATCGAGCTCCAAAAGAGTTATCTTAATTATATATATCGTTCAAATATTATATATATCGTTCAAATATTGTTTAACAGTATATTATACTTTCTTAAGTAAATTTTGATGTGTATTAAATTCATTCAGAGGCAAATCAAGAATGAAGCAAGCATTGATATGACTGCGATGTAATTTTTTTTCTATAACTAGGTGAGATATATGTTTGATTTGTCAGCCCATTAAAGTCGTCACTATTGAGGCACAGGTCATTCCTACAGACGGAATAGAGAGAGCACCTAGCTCGATATAAGTTCTTGATATATTCGACAATTCGATGTAAGAATCCTGGAAAATAGAAGTAACGCTCGACGCTTGATCTTATTCATGTAAAGAGTTATCTTCTTATACTTTATTGGAATAAACTAAACGGCAAACATAATGGCGTTTCGATAAGTCTAAACGGGGTATCTACATGAGATTCTCATTATTTTAATAATGTGCGACATTTGAACTATCTCTTAGCTGACCCAAAACTACGTACCGTCATAAAATTAGGGGGAGGAGGTAGAAAGTTAAAAAATTGAGGGTTGTATATATTTTTTGTGCCAAATAAAAAAATGTCTACTAAAGTAACTAACAAAAAATCGGATGGACATTAATCACTTAGGGGGAAAAATAGTTTGAAATAACTATTCTCAGGCTTACTAAATATACGCACAAAATTTTATAACAATCGGTCAAAGCCGTTTCGGAGTAGTTTCATTACAAACACTGTGACATGAGAATTATGTATATTAGATTGTTGCGAAGTTATATTTATATAAAATATATTATTAATAAAGTTATATACTATATCGGTTAAAGTAGAAATTCGTTATGATAAAAAAGCATAATAATTTTTACTGTTCAAAATTTTTTTTAATAATACTATAAGTCATTGAAATGAGTTGAGGGATTTTAAAGTCTTAGTCGCAAGATAATTGAAATTAATGAAAATTTATTATCATTTAGCATATAAGAATGTGCGCAAAAAAATAAAATTTCAAGATTGTCATTGAAAAATATATTTTTTAACATTTACAAAGACGTAGGTATTTATAATAGACAATACGGTATTCAGCTGACGTATAACTTGGGTAACATTTTTTTATCAGATTTTGCTTTGAAATGATTATGCATGCACAACGGGCCCGGTAAATATAATATACTGAATCCTAACAGAATTTTAATATAAACTTTCGTTTGTTTTGAAGAGAGATATGGCGATTTGCGCGTGCGTACACAATTTCTTTCCTAACTCCGCCCACTAGACGATGAAGCAACAAGTGGGTAGTATTTCTGAACATCTATCAAACTAAAAGAAACTTTCATGACTAAACAAGAAAAAGAAAATCCGGATATTGCACATCATTATTTAGTCTTAATCAGAACCACGTAGTAGAAACCAAATGAGTTTGTAGAGGTAATAAACACATATTAAACAAACATCACTTGGTAATCTTGGGATATTGAAATAAATTAAATGTTTGCACATCACACAAATAAGAGAAGAGAGCAGGAGCACTGTCGTACCGTAGCATCAGCAAATTATGAATTTGTCAAATTATATTACAAAAAAAGTTATTCTGCAAGTGTTCATGCAATTACCACATTAACAATTAAAAGTTTGAGAAATAATAATCTTCATATTGTTCGTATCAGTTATTGATTACGTTTAACGCTAGATTACCAAAATTCTCAAATATTTTAAAATTCCGATGTGAATATTATAAATTTATATAGACGATCTATCCATATACTCACTCGCTTTGGGTGAAAATAAACTAAATCATAAAAAAACCACAATCGAAAACATACTCACATAGATAACAGCGAACAACAGCAAGAGCAAAACAGTATAAATAGTAACACCAAAAGTTTTCTCACACAACACACGATGTTAAAGCACGAAACTTGAGTTACTGATATTCGAGTATGTACCGCCCCCGACGGGATCTCAACATAGAATGGTATCTTGATGAAGGCGAAGCGAAAGACAGGGGCGGCGGAGGGGTGCGGGGTACGCGGCGCTGTGGGCGTGGTTTCACAGGTGTACCAAGTCGAACAAGTGATATATACGCGTGTTAACACTTGCACACGAACACGCCTCACTGTCACGCATGAGCCAACACCGACGCCGAAATCTCGCAATGTTAATTGTTTATCCGACGGCGAAAGTCCATTAGACATACTACAAGGCGGTTCATTAATAATAAATAAATCGGTTGCGGTGTGTTTCCATTTCGTTTCTCATAAGTCCCAGGCAACTTGAAGATGACGAGATAAGGTTTTTTGTTACGAATGGCAGCAAAATGACAGACTAATTTCCTATTACTAAACTTCGTTATCTCATTATCTGAAGACGTTAAAACATGAAATGAAAGCTCTAGGCGGGACAGGACGATAAGAAAACAGATGATATATTATGCACTTTGGCAATCGATTAACTTTTCCTAATTTCTGATAGAACTTATTACCGTGTGAATCTGGTGATAGGAAAATTCTTTGTAAATATATTCTTTTAAGCAAATCTAATTTTATGTTTATAATTGAAAGTTTACCAGAATAATTATGTAGAATCTCATAGATAAAGATGATAGACCACAACTATAGTTCTTCGTTAATCTTCATGATGAGATCTAATAAATCTAAAACCAACTCCACAACCAAGTGCAAAACCACCTTATACAAATTATGCAAGTATTATATGTATCTATCACTATCCAATAAAAAACAGAGCTCGTATTTGTAGCATTTAACTACACAACATTAATCATTTTAACTAAGTACACAATTGCCACAGTTAAGTAACCAAGTGCAAAACCATCTTATACGAATTATGCAAAGTATTATACGTATCTATCACTATCCAATAAAAAACAGAGCTCGATTTGTAGCATTTAACTACACAAAATTAAACATTAACTAAGTACATAATTTCCACAGTTAAGTAACCAAGTGCAAAACCACCTAATCTTTTGCACCACCACTTTTTTTACCCAATACTTTCTTCACCATCAGAACTAATAGGCGTCTAGTAATCATCACCTGCATTTGTGTGCAGGTTACAGACTGTAATTCGTGTTGACGTCTTAATGATCACCTCTCTTAGCTTCCAAGATACATCGCTGAATGATGGACTGCAAATTGGTTAAGTGGATTATTAAGCTTTGGAAGAATAATGAACGCTGTCGAATGTGACATTTGAAATGGAAGACCTTATTCAATCAGAGTTTTATTTAATCCAATGAAAGAATAACGAGAAGTAGTCGCCTAATATCTTTTTAATTGCCGTTTCATCTTTATTGAAGTTCCTCTGAACTATTGCGTGTATATGCGTGTCCAACGCACTATAGTGTCTGTTTCGTTGTTTAATTAATATTACATTTGTTAAATATAGACTAAACAAATACAGAACATATTCTAATAACAGTTACATACAAGATTGCCATGCATATAAGTTGCTCACGCTAGAAGAGCGTCGCCATGTATTGGATATGGATTTCCTGTTTGATTTGGTCCGCGGGCAAATTGACTGTCCTGAATTTTGGAAAAGTTGGCACTTCGAGTACCATCGCGTCACACAATTCTCTTTTCCACACTCCCTCTCACTCCACTAATTATGCTCAAAATGTGCCACTTACACGATTATCCAATAACTATAATAAACATTTTAGTACAGCTGATGCTTTTATAGAGACAAAACGTACTTTTAAGCAATCCATTGTAAAGCTAACTAATGAATGACCGGCGAAAGAGCATTGTATTGATTAAGCATATTTGGCTAAATAATGAGACAAGTATGGGGATCGTATGTTTATTTCATTGCTTCGTTATATGATATACATTGTATTCATGTTGTTTTATAAACATGTTGCGTGATATCTTAATTAATTAACATATAGTCAGAAATGAATCTATTGTTGCAAATATCTTTGAATGAACTATATACATTGACACAAAAATGTTACGCAAGTTAATATGTTACCAGGAAAACTGTAATTGGCATTAGTTTAAGAAAATATTATAAATGGAACTAGAAATAAAACAATGCTGTAGATTTCCTGAAATAAATAAATAAAAAAGATTTATTATCTGATATTTAATAATTTAGTCTTTAACCTGGACCGAGAGGGCTTTTTCGTAAAATATTATTTACATTTTAATCTTACACATTTAGCAGTGTAATGCTTAAAAACCAAAATATAGTAATTAGATTAATAAATTACATAAAAAAATATTAATATAAAAAAAACGATGTCAATACCAATTAGCTGTTAATGGTAACGAATAGGTACACAATAACACTAGTTAAGCAAAAAGAAATTAAATATCACGATTAATTCACCAAGTAACATTATCAATGTATTAAACCAGTAATAAATTAAATCATTTCAACAACACTAGAATATAGGGCGTGGCTACTCGAAACAAAGTTGTCAAATTATTTTTACGAAATTAGTGCTGGCGAAGAAGAAGAATTCACAAATCCTCGTAAACACTGACAAATACTTGTAATTTACAGTCACACGTTTAGTATTCGAGAGTTCTGAATATTCCAGTGTTATGTCACAAAGTAATAATGCAAAGGAGACCTTTACAATTTTGTTAACTACATACTTATTAAACTTTAGGTCTGTTCTTCATCATCAGTTTGTTACGTCATTACCATATCATAATCAGTCATCTATACTTTTACAATTGGTATGTAAGATCGTTCAAATGTCAGATAAGTACAAGAATAATTGATGGTCTGTCTAGAAATCTCAAATTTACTTGAATTTAAAACACTTTGGACGACTTGTAGGTACTGGCGCATAACTAATTCAAAATCAAATCGAAAGTCACCCACATGACATCGACACAATCCATTTAAAGCATCATGAACATGACCGCTTATTTTAACTACATGTATTATGAATTCAGAATATGTCGGCGTCACATCGTGAAAGGTTGAACGCCCGTTATCAGCTGATCGGATGATTTAAATACCAAACAATGGCACCAGCATTAAATCCACACTGTTTTGCAACGACACTACACCGCAGGCCCAACGCATTGCCTAGCTAGACAATGTTAACTAAATTGACATTTATGTACGGGGAAAATTTATTGGGAATGAACGTCGTTATAAAGTAAATACTTTTAAGCCGACATGACTTACGATAAGTGCTGTGTGTAAGGAGCAAAGCTTTATTAATGTCATTTATAGGAGTTTGATTGATCGTTAATTTGAATAAATAGTAAATTACTCATAAACACCAAGACTTAAAAGTAATACGGCCGAAAGTTTTGTAAATTGTGATCAATTTGATTTCATAAAAACGTTACTGTATATGAACGCTGGATATAGCTAAATTAACTAGCCAAGTAGCAATCAATGGACTCGTACATTAGTTATAATGCAAGTTATATGTCCTGCAAGTTATCATAGTAATCACAATATCAATAATACATAGCGGGATTGAAAAATTCGTGGCCTCACATTGAAACAGATACGTTTCTTTTAAATTCCCCTATGATATTTTTTCACATACTTTTTGGTTATAATGATAAAAAAAATGTTGCTGTAGTTTTGACAGTCGCTAAGTTAGAGTGAATAAAGTGAAACGCCCTTCAACAGAATTTCAATAACAGGATATGGATAATACTTAAACGTTCACACGTTTGTAGAATCCTTGGCTCAAATTCGTGATTGTGGTTTCAGACTTCTGCTTCACCCGGTTTATTCACTCGATTCAGCACCTTCGAATTTTCACCTGTTTCCAAAATAAAAATACACCTCGGTTGTCAGTAATTATTATTGGATGAAGAGGTAAATGCCGCTGTAAATTAGTATTTTGAAGACCTTGACGTATGTTTTTTATAACTGGTACAGAAGCTTTGGAACGCAGCAGGAAGAAATGCGTAAAAAGGCTAAATGGAAACTACGCCGAAAAACAAAAATATATGTGAAGTATTTTTTCCTTTTTTCTTAGTTAGGCCGCGAACTTTCCAATCCACCCTCGTGTATTGTAAGCACACATGCTGTTACTAACTTCAAGTAAAGTAATACATAACATACAAACACTAGAACTTAACCGTGAAATTGAAAATTGTAACGCAGAACTAAAATAAACATTCCATCTACAAATTGCTTATTATTAAAGTTTCGTTGCGATTATCAGGATTATTAATAACATTTTCACAATGATTATTGCTATTAATAATTATTTATACCGGAGCGTCGCTCGAGCAGATAAATGGTAATGATCGGGTGCGGCAACGCGAACGCAATAAGCTTACTTCGAAAATAGAAATCGGTCCGTAAGCAAGTATAGTTTATCATACATGGCATCGTTTGTATATTTATATGGTGATAGCGTCGGCGAGCTATGCGTCAATGGTCAACGAATATAAGCCGATTTGTACAATCGCTTGTTTAAGATCAGGTCTGCAGCAGGTGCGATGTTATTGTTGCAGCGGAGACGGGGCGTGGAGCGTGTGCAATATGCAATTGGTATTAGACACAGCCATTACAACCTTGGATGCGTAAATATCAAATAATCCGTCACTTTTGCTAGACAAAGTATATATTATGAAGGTTAAAATAAATCCAAAAATTATATGAAATCTGGTTTAAAGGATGATAATTTTAAATCTCTAGGGATATTTTAAATGTCTGTTTATGTAAAGCTTTCTAGACAATATATGGTTCAGAAATAAAAATGATTAGTTAAAATTTACGAAACGAAATTTTTAGTATCAATATCGGTTACGTAAAGCAGTTAAGTAGGATGGAATATGTTGTCAATGAGAAAAGAAAATGCTTAATTTTCTAACATTTATTGAAAAATCTACAATGTTAATGGGTAAATTTTTAAAATCTTAACGAAAGCTGACGATCTTTTAAGTTTAAAACATATTGATGCAATAAGTTATAGGGACTAGGCCTATAAATTTTGGCAGTTCCAGCAACGGCAC